ATTTTGCAAACGCTAAGTAAAACTTGAGTGATGATGGCATATATTTACATGCATATATACAGTCATATATATATATATATACTCACATACGTATGCATTCATACATATGGCTTTTATAAAAACTGACAAACTTTAAGAGGCTTACTTAAAGTTTAAAGTTTATTTATATGGATTGAAGACAAATATTCTCATTATAGCATCGTCAGGACCCTGACAGAGATAGTCTCCTGCTGTGAGGTGGTTGTGTGAACAACCAGATCAGGAGGATTTCTGTGAATGTGTGGCTTGTTCAGCCATTTCGGTTGATTTTCCAACCTTGTCCCCTTAGAGACCCCCAAGGACCTACAATGATCAATTCTAAAGTTTCCATAAGCATGATAAGTCCACTTGTTACCGAAAGACCTTTCCATAAATGATCCAGTAGGTGTTTTTATCATGATTCAAGGTAAACTAATCAAATCAGAGCAGATAGAGCCTCACACCCCCCTCAGGACCCCAGGTTGGGAACCAATGACGTAGAGCCCCCGGTCAGGTGTTATGACGGCTACAAAAGACATAAAAAACATCCAAAGAGGTTCAGAAATACTTTATATACAGAAGAAGTTTAAACTGTAGCTGCTGTGATGTTCAGGACGGGTTTTCTTTGGCACAGAGAGGATCAGTGTTCAGGGACCTTCAGCTGAATTTAAAACAAATAAATCTGAAAATCAACAACAAAGACGACTCTAAAGAAGCTCAGTTTGTTGAATGAGACTCAGAAGTTTCTCAGTCTCTTGATTTTCCTATTGAACTATAATTAAACCTTTTTTTTATTTAAAGATCTAAATGTGTTATTTCTGCAAACTGTTCCGTGACGCTCGCGCTGAAAAGAGGAAGTCCTCCTCCCTCGTATGACACAACCTCCTCTTACCACAGACTGAGTGTGTGTGTCGTTGTCGTTTGTTGTTTTCTGTTTTGTAAAAAAGCCGAGCTGAGTCCTAAACAGGTTTCAGTTTTTTTTTTTTTAAATCTGAGGACTTTTGCTCGTTGTTGTTTCTAATCAAAGCGGGTTTAAACCTCCTGCAGACTTTTTAAAATCTCAAAACGTCACAGCGGTGTTTAAATATCACGGCTTGAAGCGGCGGTCTGAATAGGGCGTGTGAGACAGAGGACCGCCATTTTAAAGCCAAGACCACAGATATGACCACGATTCTTCATCTTTGGTCTGGGACAAAGTGTTAATACCTTGCAGGCTGGAGGATTTTTATGAAGTGAATCAAACCAGTTTTAATCATCTTCATAAACGTTAGTAATGATCTTTAAAGTCTTTATTTGTGATTTTTCACACTTAAATAGAAATCAAGTATCTCCTCTGAAAATAACTCTGTGAGTCATGACTGTCTACAATGGGTGTAACACCCGAGTCCCACTGTCTGTGATGTTTTCAGAGTTTTCAGAGTCCTATCTTCAGTTTGTTTACATCGCCAGGACGGCCGGCTGACTCCTCCCCTCGTGTATAAAAGTAGTTTAATTGAGGGACTAGAGAAAAGAAGAATAACATACTGTACTCACTGCTTAACTGTGTTTCTAGATCACGCTCATTTCAGGTAAATTTACATGCAGTGTGAAGATACCAGCAGAATAAAGATCGCTAGCATTAGCATGCTAACACAGCAATGCAGCGCGAGTTGTTTTGGTTTCATGCTGGTGCTCAAGGGCGACATCTGCTGGATCATAACCTGTTCTGTTTCATGTTCTGTGTCGCAGGTTCACTCATCGAAAACAGCCTGAGCTCTCATTCACATGTAGTACCGCCTCCTCCTCCTCCTCCTCCTCCTCCTCCTCCTCCTCTTGTCCAATCAGCTTCCCCGCCTCCTCCTGCCCCCCCAGATCCTCACCCACATGTCCCCCCCGCCTTCAGCCACCATCAACCAGAGTCCACTTGCCTGGAGCCCGTCCTCAGACACCTGTCGGAGTGTTTCCAGGGTCTGGTGTCGGAGACGCGGGGCCTCCTGGGCCAGCTGGAGAGCCAGAGGCAGGAGCAGGCGCGCTGGCACCAGGAGCTCTTCGCCCAGTGGCTGCAGAGGGAGGAGCAGCGGCAGAGGGAGACGGCCGAGAGGGAGGAGAGGAGGGAGAGGGCTCGCATGGAGCACGAGATCAGAGTCCTGGAGCTCCTCAGCGGCCTGGCTAAAGAGCACAGATGTGGCTGTGGAGGTGGAAGGGCTTCAGGTGGGCCGAATCACAGCGGGAACAAAGACGGAGATTAGGACGCACTCAAGTGAAGGAAAACGTTTAGCTTCATCCAAAGTAACAGCTCTGAGAACGCTAACAGACACATTCAGGGCGGCTCAGTTCACCTCTGGAGCGAAACAAGAGGATTGTTCACAGATAGTTAATGATCCGATGTTCTCAGGAAGAAGAAGAAGAAGAAGAGGAGGAGGAGGAGTTACAGCTGAAGGAAAAGGATGATTCATCAGGCCTCCTAATATACCAAAAGTATTTGTGCACTTATGTAAATTAAAAATGCTTTTTTTTTTTCAAACATCTTTGTTTTGTCTTTGTTTGATCGTGTATGCTAACAGGTTAGCCGTTTGATGCTAACGATAAAAATTCTAATCTTTACTTAAAGTCATCAAGATCACATCTGAAGATAAAAACACAAGCCCTGTTCAGCGTAATCCCCCCCCTCCCCCCCCCACCCCCAGAGGTAGTAACAGGCGTTACAGAGGGCAGATGGTTTCAGGAAGAGCAGCGCTGTGTGTGTGTGCATGTCTGACTGTGTGTGTATGTGGAGCTCCCGCTGTGCCGTGCTTCTTCAAAGTGAATCCACAGACTAAGACACCGACATTACGCTGATGACGACTGACCTTAGTTACGCAATTCACATACAGTACGGCGTTGTAGAAGCTAACCCTAACCCCCCACACACACAGTCAGACATGAACACACACAGATGCGTTCCCCCGTTTGGCTTCACTGATCCTGTCTCGCCTCTGTAACGCTCCTGGTACCACACAGTACGACATGTTTAAGGCATGTTAGAGGATTCAGACCATCAGCTGCAGCCATCATGCTTGTTTTAATTTAAATCAACAGTTTTTCTTCTCTTCAGGCATTTTTTTTTTAAATCTGAGCAAATTAAATATTTTCCAGAAGCACAATACTCAGTAACAAATACTCAATAACAGAAGATGTACTGTCACTTTAAATAAGACCAGAGCATGCAGAGTCGTCTCACTTCTGACTTTAATAAACTGCATTAGAATATAAACATGTAGGATTATTTATTGGTGCGATGTGATCAGAGACGTCTGCAGACAGTTTTCCTGTTTCACTCAGGATGTTTGTTGGAGCGTCCGATCCTCTGTGACCTCGCTGCAGCAGGGACAACAAACGTCATGTTTCTGTACATTCCTGATGTTATCTCCTCCGCTCGTCTTTAGAGCTACATGAGGAATGTAACACAAACAAAACAAAACAGAGTTTATTTGTTCCACTGCAGGAACGCAAGTTTATTTTAAGAATCTGAACATCAGGCTTAAAACACCGACCTCAAACTGAGGAGAAAACATGTGATGTCATGACGTTCAGAACATTTACACCGAGCCATAACTGCTCCCGTGTGTGATTCATTTACACTCTTAAAGCGCTGTAAGTTTATCAAATGGTTTCACTCAAGATATAGACGATAAACCGCCTCGTTTAACTGTTTTTTTTAAACATGGCAGGGAGGATGATCTACGCTCGCTGTGATGCATTTCTTGTTTTGGCTGCAGCATGTAAAAAAAAAATCTAAGTTATAATCCTCATTTTTTCTGTTTAAAACGATCCTCTGCTTCAGTTCAGACTTTGTGGAGTGTGTGTGTGTGTGTGTGTGTGTGTGTGTGTGTGTGTGTGTGTGTGTGGTGTGTGTGTGTGTGTGTGTGTGTGTGGTGTGTGTGTGTGTGTGTGTGGTGTGTGTGTGTGTGTGTGTGTGTGTGTGGTGTTTGTCCCTTGATGTCCAACATGATGATGATGATGACGTCCTGATCTTCGTGGTCAAACTGCTGCGCTCATTCAAGCGAGAGAAAAGCTGGATTAGAGCACATATACGTAAATCTGCACTAAAACCAGATTATATAACGTCTCTGGATGTTGATGATGAGATTTGGGATGATTTGCTGTTATTTCACCGCGAGGTTTATTAGTCTGCTCGACAAACACACACACACACACACACACACACACACCACACACACACACACACACACACACACACACACACACACACACACACACACTACTTCACACATGACCTCTCACAGGATAAATGATAATATCTGAAAGTTTGGATTATAAAAACCTTCAAAAAGGACTTGACTTGACTTCATCCCGTGTGAGGTTAGAAAATAAAATGTTAAAAAGTGAAGCCAACGCTGAAGTGTAAAATCCTGCAGTTCCTGGAGTGTCCTCTAGAGGCTGGCTGCAGAAGCACAGGAAGTCACATACACACCCATTCTAAAAAGCCTGTTTTTACAGCAGAGATGAACATGTTTACAGCCTGGTTCAAAAAACCAAATAGGTGTGATTAGCTCATGTCTGGATGGACACACACTGTACGGGGGGGTGAATGTTTTGATGACTCATCAGTTTTGATTTGATGAAGGATAAGAGTTATTCACAATAAGGCGTGTAGCTGACCTGATTGACAGGTGGGCGCGGTGTAACGGTTTGTCAGGAGGTTTAAAACCCGCCTCAGCTCCAGCTCTCAGCCTGTCGTTAGGTTGACTGAAAGTTAGACTGAGACAGCATTTCCAGCATGGAGACCGCCATCGATGGGACTCCAGCGCCCCCTGCAGGAACAGACGGGGGACGCCATCGATGGGACTCCAGCGCCCCCTGCAGGAACAGACGGGGGACGTCACTCAGTCCAGTAGTATTTACAATCTGTGGTCTGAACCCCTGGACTTTCATCTGTGCACATTTGACCCTCTACCAGTGACTGCCTGCAAACACTGAACATCAAGGAACCTCACATCTGATTGGCTACCTCACATGTCAGTTTTTAGTTTGACCTCATGCAGGAGGTCGTGACCTTTCAACAGAAACGTCTCAGAATCACTGAAACAGAAACGTTTATTTTTGTTGTTCATGTTTCTTCAGAATGATGTGGTGCTTTTTTGAGTTTCTGGGATTCCCTGCAACTCAAAGAAAAGAATCCCAGAATGGAGAATCGAAACATTTAAAGAGGAAGGAGGAGAATTCATCGAAACGTCAGCGTGAGACCGAAAGAGAGAGTAAAGACGGACAGAGCAGACAAATGAAAGCTGAACAGGGGGGGGGGGGAGAGAAAGAGAGAGAAAGAGAGAGACGGCAGATGGGGGTGTGGCGTGTGTGAGTTCTGTCCTCTGATTGGCTGCTGCCTCTCCCACTCTCACAGTAAAGTCTTGAGGCTGCGCGCTGTTCACATCTCTCACACACATCGGAGAGAGGAGTAACACACAGCCGGAGCTCTCATTCAAACACTCATTCTTCTTCTTCTTCTTCTTTGGCTGCTGTTCACCTGAGAACACGCGTTTAACTCACCTGCAGTGTCAGCTGCGTGATGCCGCAGTGAGGTCACCGGAGCCGCGGACAGTCAGCTGCTTTCACCGCCTCCCGGGAGCGGCGGAGAAAGTCTGTTTGTTTGGATCATTTTAATCAGAGGATTCGAGTGGGATTCACACCTGGATTGCTGCTGTTTGAGGTGAGCTTTGAGGATAGATTGCGGGGATACTTTGATCATTAATGGTTGGATTGAATGTTGTGATGTTTGGAGACTCGCATGGTGTCCAAAAAGCGCGCAGGTGGAGCACGGAGCGGAGCGCACCGTGTCTGCAGAAACAGAGGATCAGGAGAGATTCTTAACGGACTGATGCAAACATTATAAATGCATTTTGAGTTTGTGGTGTTTAGATTGCAGTTTTTTTATGCTTTGACTTTATATAAATCTTTAATGATTAACAATGATGACCTCCCTGATTGGCTGCTTCTAAAATATCTGTTCTACTCTCTAAATCTCACCTTTGGCTCTTAAAATGTTCCCGAATTATGAGATTTTTGAACCAATTTCAATGGCGGACTATTTTTAACCCCCCCTACCTTCTTCCTAAGAGGATTCCCCCCCTCCCTCACCCTCACCCTCCCGGTGTCTCCTCTCCTGTAAGATTCCGAGGATCAGTGAGTTAATCCCGCTTCTCTCCTGTGAACGTGCCCGGTGTTCTCCTTTGCTGTGTGTGTGTGTGTGTGTGTGTGTGTGTGTGTGTGTGTGTGTGTGTGTGTGTGTGTGTGTGTGTGTGTGTGTGTGTGTGTGTGTGTGTGTGTGTGTGTGTGTGTGTGTGCGCGCGCTGACATGATGGATCCTGTTTTCGGTGATTCTGACACAGGGGGATCTGGGTTTTTGTTAAAGTGGATTACAGGTGGTGCTCCTCCTGCAGGTCTTTGTTGGTGTAAAAGAGACTTTTGAAGGGAATGAGAGGTTTCCTGTCAGTCCTGATTTCTGGTGCATTAGTGATGAGAAGGTGTGCAGACTGCAGAGGTCTGGACAACACATCCTCTAAGATTTCTGTTCCTCAGATTAAAATGATTCTTTAGTGACTTTAAAATGAGAATCTTTGAACATTTGATGGTTCTGTCTTCTTCAATGTGAGGATGAGCTGCTTTCATCTTTCAGTCCTGACGGTGGATGAAGATGTTTGGGGGGGTTTGAAGGCGTCGGTTTGATGAAAGAAACGGAAGGAAGTGATGGGTGACCATGTTTCCAACTTTCATTGATTTCATGGACTAAACGATCATTGGATAAATTGTTGAAATAGAAGGAGGATGAATTGATTGGACACATGATCCTTTGCTTCAGCACCATCTATCACTCAGACCCTGAGCCAACATCGATCTATTGATCTGTGAGACATTAGAAGGAGGATCAAATCTCACCAAGTGTCCTTTTGGAGGCTGTTTAGTCCAATCAGCTGATCCTGATTTACAGCGTTTTGGTGTTTGCCAATTTGAAATGATTTTGGAGATTCTCACATTTCCAAGACTCAAAGGCAGAAGTAGTTTGTGCTCGGGGTGGAACGATGCTTCTGTTGAACATCTTTATCTTTGTCATCTCTGTTGACAGACATGTTGCATGAACCAATGTCTACAGATGTTTATCTGCTGTGTTGGTGTCATGCTGAGTCAGAGGAGAGGTTTTTAATGTGCATGAGAAGAAGTCACTCTGATCTGATGGAGCGTGTTCTGTTGACGTCTGAGCTGATAAATGTTGATTAAACTGAAATGATTGAAGAAGAGAGAGAGCGGACATCGGAGGAGGTGGGATCAGTCGAAGCAGAGGACGCTCGATCACACTTCCTGACTCTGAGTATTTACATTTCTGAGGAGGTGCACGTCAGCCCTCCAAGTTTTCCTCTGTGTCAGGCTGGTTTAGATTTCTCCAGTCTGCAGGGGGGGGGGGGGGGGATTCCTGCAGGGTCGGGTGTGTTAATGTGTCTGTGATGGACCGATGACTCCAGGTGACAGGATACTTCCTGGAAGCTGAGATTTTTCACACTGAACACTGCTGCTACATCATCAGAGGTGTGTGCATGCAGAGCAGCAGCTGGAGGATGAGTGGGGGGGGGGGGGGGGGGGGCGGCTTTGAGACCCTCGTCCTGGATTAAGGTCCAGAGAAAAGTTCATGAAGATGATTTTCATTCCTGCTGAGAAATGTTTCAGAGCTGTATTCTGATGTAATGTGGGAGGAAAAGATGGGACCAGCCCCCCCCCCCTCCTCCTTACACAGGTGTATTTTTACATAACACTCTGCAGCCCCCCCCCCCCCCCCCTTTAAGACCACACAGCGCCCCTCCGTCTGTTTTAGACCACTTCACTCCTCCTCTGTGCAGACACTCGCTTATCTCTCACCCTCATTTCCTGCAGACATGGATGAGTGAGATTCCTCAGGCCGTTCACTGTTTACACAGCAGAGGGGGGGCTGTTGATTTACTGCTGATTACTGCCCCCTCCCCCCCCTGCATCACATTCCCCACATTACAGCCCCCTCCTCCTCCTCCAGACCCAATAAACCAAAAACAAACATCTTCTTACCTTCTCTCGCTCAGCGTCTTCAGGCTGTCAGATTTAGTTTTTACACTTTTTAAAAACTATGTGTCTTTAAAGATCAAGAGTATCAATAAGTACCAAAGCTTCAGTCATATCTTAAACCAAACGCTGACACAAGCTAGAGAGGTGGTCGATTCTAACTCAACATTTCTCAAGTCCTTTTTGCGTCTTGTTATGATGCAAATGTTTTGTTTATGTCTCTTGCCGGCGCAGAGGAGGGGAGGGGTCACAGAAATGTTGCCAACATTTTTATAATTTTTAAAAATAAAATTGAGATTAAATGTGCAGGAAGATTGTCTGCAGTTATTCGTATTTAAAGACAAAAAAAAACGACTACTCTACTAGAATCATATCGAGGGTTAAACTTTGATATCGTCACGCCCCAGAGGCTGCAGAGGAAGTTTTATGACATCACAAATCTCAGAGTCTCTCTGCTCCGAGCGCCGAGCTGCAGGAATGTCTCCGAGAAACAGAACCAGGGAAGTGTTCAAACATTAAACCTGTGTGTGTGTGTGTGTGTGTGTGTGTGTGTGTGTGTGTGTGTGTGTGTGTGTGTGTGTGTGTGTGTGTGTGTGTGTGTGTGTGTGTGTGTGTGTGTGTGTGTGTGTGTGTGTGTGTGTGTGTGTGTGTGTGTGTGTGTGTGTGTGTGTGTGTGTGTGTGTGTGTGTGTGTGTGTGTGTGTGTGGCTCTCATCACGAGCGGTCGTTAACACACTGCGGGCGCTGCAGGGGACAGCCCCCCTCCTGCTCTCTGAGAGGAGGCAGGAGAGTAGACCCCCCCCCCCCCCCCACTCAGAGACAGAATCACCTGAACGTTTGTATCACTGCCGGGCGGCTCCGCAGCCTGGAGGGGAGTTTCTTGTAAACGCTGAGGTTTGAGGGGGGGAAGAGGAATATTTAGAGATTTCTGTAAGCTGTCTGTCACTCACGGCTCGATTACTAGAAACTGCTTTTCTCCCTCTCTGAATGTTCACATGATCAGTGTGATGATCAGTTTCAGTTTTCAGCGTCGTCTTTGTGTGAATACGTAGAAAAAGGTTCCCCGACCCCCCTGAAGACGTCCAGGAGACATTTCTGACTCATTTCTGATTACAGTTCTACAATTCACTGAGCAGACTCTTTTCTCCAAAGCGACGTACATCAGAGAGTAAGAACAACACAAGCAAGGATCTAGAAAAAAGGGAACAATGTGAGTAAGATCAAACGATCAGCTTTGAGTCTGATTGGACACACAGGTGCTGACAGGAAGTGACCAGAGGCAAAGCACAACATTGAGGGCAGTTCTTGAGAGCTCTAATCAGTATAGAAACCATCTTATAAGTCGTCATTATCAAACAAAAACCATCGTCATTACCATCATCATCATCAATAATATGGAGACCTTCATCATTAAGTTAGTAGGTATTCATGAAAGAGCTGGGTCTTTTTCTTAAAGGTGCAGAGGGACTCTGCAGATCACATGGAGTCTGGAAGTTCATTCCATTCTCTGTTTACAAATCCAAACTTCTTTAACACTCTGAGGCAGATGGCTACACACACACACACACACACACACACACACACACACACACACACACACACACACGATAACTAAGGCTATAATTAAAACCATCCATCCAAACAAACCCCCCCCCCCCCCCTCCCCCCTCTGTGGCATTTAGTTTGTTTACCTTCAGCTGCCACCTGGCCAGCGTCCGCGCTAAATCAACAGCTAGGTGCTAACAGTTTGTTTTTGTCAGACCCCCAAGACTTCATATGTGGGTCCCCAAAAACCCCCCACAGACCCCCCACCCTTCACCAAAACTACTACACCCGCTCCACATGACACCCGGGAGCCAGATGTCAAATCAGAGTGTCAGTCGTTGCAGCTTGTTAGCTTCAGTGCACAGGTACTGAACGTGGACTCTTTCAGCCCACCTGGAAAACTCCAGGAAACATTTGAGGAGTTCAGAGCGTGTTTGGAACAGGATTATAAAACGGAGACGACCAAGGAGAAGCGAGCGCATCAGTGGGATTACAAACACGTGGAAGTGACCTGCGTGTGCCGCTACGCTCTCAGAGAAGAAGTGAGGACAAAGTGCATCACCTGATCTCCTCTCTCTCTGTCAGAGTCTCTGCTGCTTTTTATCTTCAGAGAAACCCACCTGCCCTCGGCGGCGCATTAATCCGCGTGCGTGTGTGTGTGTGTGTGCGTGTGTGTGTGCGCGTGTGTGTGTGTGTTGCATTAAAAATGTTTTGGGATTTTTTCATCCCTGTCTGCGTTTCATCTAAACGCGTTTCCTTTCATTGAGTCTAACAATGATCAGACAGTTTGCATCCATGAACATGCTGCTGTGGATTTCCCTGAGAACTACAAGTCCCTACAAGTCCTCTTCATTTGATAATCCTGATCCTGTTGAAATCGTCTTTGGACTCCGTTAATAATGAAACTGTGAGATCGGGAAAATCTGCAAATTCTCACACCGAGGACAATGAAACTAAAACGATCCAGTAAATCAAAACCAGATGAGGCGGCAGAGATTCTTACTGAATACTTTCATTAATCGAAGGAGAGTGTGAGCTCCCACCAAAACCCCCCTCCCCCCTTTATGAGAGGAAAAACCAGCGTGGGATTGTGGAGCTGAGGGGGGTTAGAGCTCAGCTGGGAGGACTATGAGAATCGTTTCAGTCGTCTGCCACCTGCTGCCACTTCTGTTCTCTTCAGTGCAACCTCAGAGCGGGTCTGTAGGGGGTCTGAAAAGGACTGAGAAGGGCTTAGGAGGTCTGTAGGGGTCTGAGGAGGTCTGTGGAGGTCTGTAGGGGTCTGTGGAGGTCTGAGGAGGTCTGTGGAGGTCTGTAGGGGTCTGAGGAGGCCTGTGGAGGTCTGAGGAGGTCTGTAGGGGTCTGTGGAGGTCTGTAGGGGTCTGTGGAGGTCTGAGGAGGTCTGTAGGGGTCTGAGGAGGTCTGTGGAGGTCTGTAGAAGTCTGAGGAGGTCTGAGGAGGTCTGTGGTGGTCTGAGGAGGGCTGTGGAGGTCTGAGGAGGTCTGTGGTGGTCTGTAGAGGTCTGAGGAGGTCTGAGGAGGTCTGTAGGGGTCTGAGGAGGTCTGTGGTGGTCTGTAGAGGTCTGAGGAGGTCTGAGGAGGTCTGTGGAGGTCTGTAGGGGTCTGAGGAGGTCTGTAGAGGTCTGAGGAGGTCTGTGGAGGTCTGAGGAGGTCTGTGGTGGTCTGAGGAGGTCTGTGGGGGTTAGAGTTTACTCTGAAAAGCCAGAAAGTGAAAGGAAAAGCTTCTGTGGTTCAACGCGTCAGAGAAAAGAGAAACACTGAGTGAACAAAGATCCAGAAACGTTTGACTTCTGCACACTCATGGTGTGTGTGTGTGTGTGTGTGTGTGTGTGTGTGTGTGTGTGTGTGTGTGTGTGTGTGTGTGTGTGTGTGTGTGTGTGTGTGTGTGTGTGTGTGTGTGTGTGTGTGTGTGTGTGTGTGTGTGTGTGTGTGTGTGTGTGTGTGTGTGTGTGTGTGTGTGTGTGTGTGTGTGTGTGTGTGTGTGTGTGTGTGTGTGTGTGTGTGTGTGTGTGTGTGTTAAGGACACATGGTGCAGCAGATGCTCGGACTCCTCACTCTCGTCTTTCTCATGGAAATGTCCGAGCCCGTCTGTCTGGATGAATGAAAGCGATGGTGTGTGTTTGTGTGTGTGTGTGCACGTGTGGTTTCATGGAGGGACATGCATGTGAGTGTGAAAGTGTGTGGTGGTGGGGGGGGGGGGTCTGCAGTGTGCTCATGAATAAACAGTTTGTTTTGTTTTCTCTGGTTTCTGACGTGATGACATCATACTAAACTCAAAATATAAAGACCCTCTCACACTCTGCTGAAATAAAAAAGTGCACATTCACTTCATGAATTCCACTAATAAAGTATTTTGTGCCTTTCTTTTGCAGTGGGGGGGGTTTCTAAATATTCCTCTTCTCAGACTCACCTGACCCGTCTGACTTTAAATCCATGATGCATTCAAAGACACTCAGAGAAATGACATCATAGTAAGCATGAATAATGAACGCAGGCACTCTGCAGGGTTGAAGGGGTTAATTCACTTCCTGCTCTTCGTTCTTTTGTCATTTTTTTTTGTCACCAAACCAGAATAATAAGACGGCTGGACAGCGACGGTCTGAAGATATTCTACCTGTGAGTCAGAGTTCATCCCTCCTGGCATCCTCGTGTCCACCTCTAAAGACTTCCTGACTTGGGGTGCAGCCACAGGGCAGCAGAGTGTGGAGAGGTGGGGGTGTGACGGGGTGTGGGGGAGGGGGAGTTTAACCCTACGTCGACCCCCGTCCCATCCCACACCCCCCACCCTCAGTCTGTTAGCATGACATGAAGCCCCGAGGGACAGAGCGGAGAGAAGTGTGTTCTGTTGTTTAGAAGAGCAGGTCACCATGTGGTGGACTCTGAAGCTTCAGTGTTTATCCAGCTCTGCATGGGTCTGTAAACCTTTCTGTGTTCTAACCTCTCTCCATTTTTCAAAAGCATCTCCAATATTGATCCTAGTTTGAGCACGTTTCTGCTCGTGGAGCTTATTAGAAACATGCAGAGGCTTTTTAGGTCGGGTACAATCACTTCTATCTGAACCACTTCTACAATGCACGGACTCCTGCAGAGTGTTTACAGTGCAGTAAAAACAATTAGCAACATGGACACAGGACATCACAGGACTGGACTCATGCTCCTCTGCTTGTTCTTTTCAAACATGCAGCAGATGAAGCAACGTGATCTTGTGTCTCCTCGTCCTTCGGGGATGAAGCCGCGTCGCTCACAAGCTCCCACATGTTGTCGTTGAACTTTCGTTTTGGACGTCTGCGTGTTTGAGCACGTGTTCAGTTAACGTTTGTACCCGAGTCTGAACAGCAGCTCCGTGTGACTCAGGAGGAACCTTCACTTTTGCTTTCTGAGAATTTGATCATTTTGAAGAAGAGCTGCTTAGATCCATGAATCATCAAGTCATAGTTAAGTTCAGACAGTGAATCAAACAGGACTTTCCCAAAGCTGTGGATGACCCAAAGACTCTTCTTTTGTTTGTTATAAAGGACAACGAGAGGCAGCAGAGCCTCACGTTGAACACAAAAGGTTGAAACGTTCTGTTCTAAAAACATAAATCTAAAAAAAGAAATGAGTCTGCTCATGCATGCTCTAATCTCTGCAGCTCCTGAACCGACTGTAGAAGGTCGCTGCTTATCAGATGATGAACAATTAGCCTGAAGGAAAGTTTAACACCCGGTCGTTTCATGGTTTTCTGTGGTTACTGGTAAAATTCCCGGTCAAACTAGTGTTTTTTTTAAACTGTGATGCAGGTGATCATGAAGCTGCTGCGTGCCTCCCTCGTTGTGTCTCAACCACAGTTTTACCTAAACCATCTCCACGTGTGACTCAAACACGTGTGTGTGTGTGTGTGTGTGTGTGTGTGGTCAAACGTCCCTCTCTGACTCTCCCTGTGTTTGCCTCTGCAGGACATCATGCCTCAGACTCCACCCTTCAGCGGGCAGCTGAACACCAGCAGCTACAACAAGAACCTGTTCCAGAGCAAAGACGAGGGCTTCCCCGGCCTCTATTACCATGACAACCACCTGGCGTCCGGCTCCCTGGAGGCCCTCATTCACCACCTGGTCCCCACCGTGGACTACTATCCAGATGTGAGGGTTTTCTTCTTCTTCTTTTTTCATCAAAGCCTCGGACATATTTCACTTAAATGTTGTTCAGCTCTAAATGAAATGACGGATTTGAAGTTTCTTCTTTTCTTTTCTCTCCACAGAGGACGTACATCTTCACCTTCCTGCTCAGCTCTCGTCTCTTCATCCACCCGTATGAGCTCATGTCCAAAGTGTGTCAGCTGTGCATGGAGCAGCAGAGACTCAGCGACCCCCAGGCTGACAAGGTGTGCACAAAAAAAACATCCTTTAAACTTTTAATTTTGTCCTCATCACTATCATGTTCCTGCTGCACAAAATGAGACTTTCTCTGATTCTGTTGTAAACTCTTCTTGATCTTCAGCTGAGAGTCCGGAAGATCACCCCGAAGATCCTGCAGCTGCTGGCCGAGTGGACCGAGACGTTCCCCTACGACTTCAGAGACGAGAGGATGATGAGGAGTCTGAAGGAGCTGACGCACCGGCTCGCCACCGGAGACGAGGTCAGAGCTCCTCCCTCTTTTTGAACGACGTTTCATGCATTTAAAAAAAAAGAAAGTGATCGATTCTGCAGGAGTGGAGCAGATGATGTGTTTAGTTATCAGAAGCAGCTTCCTGCACGTCTGATTTCTGCAGAGGAAGGTGTGTGTGTGTGTGTGTGTGGCTGGCTGAGCGGCGATAAAAGCTCTTTTTTTGGTGTCTTTGTGGTTCCTCTGCTGCAGACTGAAAGTCACCGAGTCAGAGCTTCAGCTGTTTGGATTAAAGTCAGTCTGTGTTTTTGTCGTTCTCTGTTTTCATAAGCGATGACTCATCGTAGGGTTTCCTCCTGTGGTCTCAACAGCAGAAGATTATACAACAATAACATTAACTAACAGAGTATTTCAATGTTCGGGGGGGAATCTGCACGCTAATGTTTATGTTTCAGAAAAGGAGAAAAGAGGAGGGCTGGTTCAGACTGACGTTTGAGGCTCTGCTGAGGTTATTGAAGGATTACTGTTTCACCAAGAGGCAGATGCACAGACTGACATCACTACTGGGGAAATAAAGTAGCAAAGTGATTAGCATAGCTTAGCATAAAAAACTGGAAGGGGGTAGAAAAGTGTGGAGTTCAAAAGTTTGAGACGTACCGTAGCTGCAGCGTTCGTCCAGAGATCCTGACGTGTGTGATGTCACTACGATCTGCAGTCATGAATATTAAACTGATGGACAGCCTGCAGTAGCCAATGAGAGCGAGCAAGACCGGGAGGCGTCCGAACCAGCTGTTTGTTGAAGCTGTGTGTTAAAGCAGTGTGTGTGTGCTGTTGTTTGTTTTTGTACTTTTAGAATCTCGTTCTGCTTTAATGACTTCAGCGCGGCGTCATATCAAATGTTCTGTCCTCTCCTAACGAGCGGCGGTAACGTTCCCACTTCTCTCCAGTCGGGACAAATAATCCAGTTAGTCCACTTTAGAGTGTGTGTGTGTGTGTGTGTGTGTGTGTGTGTGTGTGTGTGTCTTCATCGCTCAATACAAGAAAAACACACACACACACACACACACACACACACACACACACACTGTGTGTTTAAGGTCACATGACTCATCAGTAAACCAGGCGTGAGGATTGATCCTGATTTCGTCTTCAGATCAAAACGTCTTCACTGACACTCAGAAACACTCGCAGCTCAAACAGGAAGTGAAAACATCAAACCTAAAAAGTAAAGACGCTCGTTTAGAGCTCCATTTCCTCCGACTTCCCCTCAAAACCACATCGTGCTTTCTTTTTTAAACAGCATCAGGAGATTTTAGTTTCCATGTTTCAACCCAACAGGAAGTAAAAATGAAGTTTATGACATGAACTGATCTTAAGTCAGATCTGAAGACAAATGACTGCGAGCAAATGTTCAGCACGAGATTTAACGATGATGACGATGATGATCTGTGACACTCCGCCAGGCATTCTAACAAAGAGTGAAGTCGAGGTCAGACTACACGATGCTCACTGTGTCAGAGTCATACACTCATGCTGTGATGTGAGGGGTAAAAGGGGCGGGGCTTAATGACACTCAGAAAGAAGACAGTAAAGAGAATAAGAATGACTACACAGGATCAAACCTCTGACTCTCAGAGCCGACGGGTCCTGCACCCTGCGTCTGCCGGGTCTGGCTTCAGTCATGCTCATAACGTGCAGTCTGACCTCGGCGTTGAAAGTTTCAGACGTCAGCAGAAGTCTTTGTTTCTCACAGACTCTCTAAATGTTTAGCAGGAAAGTCAAACTGAACGTCTCTCGGTCTTGAAGTAGAGAGTGGGATGTAGAGAGTGGGATGCAGAGCGAGCACCGCAGAGCTCGGGCCAGACGCTCTGTGAGTCCAGAATAGAAAACCTGAACATGTGTTTACAGTCGGGTCCAGACCACGTTCAGGATCAGGATCTGTCATTAAGGCGGCGGTCGGGTCAGAGAGGAAGCAGCAGCTGGGATCTGAACCCGACCTCTTCCTGCTCGGAGCGGGTCGTTATATAACTCTCCTCGGGCTTCCTGGAACACAAGAAGCAGACTAAACATTACTCCTCCTAATCTTTTTTTAATTTCTTTTTTTATATATTTTTTATTACATTTTTGAACAAACAGGACAAAGAATCACACACATGACAGCAGGGACTTTTTAAAAAGATCACATGGGATTTAAAACATCAAAATATTTTGCAAGTCAGTATCAAACATGGACAAATCTATATAACAGATTTCAGACATTTAACATGGAACAGGGAATATACAACATAGGCAGGACTCCCCCTAATCTTTATGATGCATTCACTGCGCTCCTTCAAACAGGTGACACTTCTTCACCGTTTAATGTTTCCTGAGGAGGTTTGATACCCGCACTGCAGACGAAGCTGCAGGACTCTCTGCAAAACATCAAACTTTCTGATTTTGACTGTTCATATGTCGACTTGTTTAGAAAGAAAGCAGAAGCTCCAGGTTACTGTAATCTACGGGTTAAAAGGAGACAGAGGTTTTTAAGGTTTTATCACCCATTACTCTCCTTTCTCATGAGTCTCCAGACATGTTGAGATCTGAAACACAAACTGGACGCAGATTTAAAATCTCTTAAATCGTCTGTTTTCAGAGAATAAGAGGCCTGACGTTGAGTCTTTAAAAACTTGCTTCACCTGGAGCAGTTCTTGAAAACCTTGACCTGGTCATGTGACGAACTCATTCTAGGTGCAACCACATCTTTCAGACATGTTTCTCTAAAAGGTAGCGGGTACTTTTGGCCCACGCTTCCAGACGGTCAGACCTTCTGTGTCTGCGTTCGTCGTCTTCATGCTGCAGGAAGAACGAGTTCAGCACTTACAGGCTGAAACCCTTCAAAGTCCCGGTCCTCTCTGAGAGTCTGAACCTGGACCAGGAAGTCCCAGAGTCTTTGTTTGGACCCTGGTCTCTGCAGTGGAAACACGCTGAGTTCCTCGTAAGGTGCGGCGTCCTTCCTGCGCGGGGGGGGGGGGGGGGGTTTGGAAGGTTTGGAGATACTTCAGTCTCATGGTGTTTGGAGATAAACAATCCTCCTGTTGGCTCTCTGTTTATTAGTTCTGCTCGGCTGATTGGCTAAAAACAGCCCGGGCCTTTGCTGTGGCTCAGATGTCGCTCCACAGGAAGTGACATCACTCAGCCAAGAAAACCAAAAAAAGACCTCTAGAGATACAACAGCGAGAAGCGAGCGCTCCAATCATACAGACCGACCGTCTGCCCGCCTCAAGGTCACTGCCAGGGCGGGCACAGCGCCCCCTGCTGGGCCCCTCTCATAGGTAACGGCCTGATGAGTCCCCGTGTGTGACGGTTACCTCACAGATCTATTTTTAACCCGCTCTCTGTTTGGACAGAAGCTCGGGCAGATGGTCGACGTGGCGATGTCTGTTTACCCCGAGTCTGCTGAGAGCGCGTGAAGGAGATTCATGTCGAGCTGCGAGGAATGTTTATATTTAATAACATCCAGGGAGCCACAGCTGATTGGTCTCCATCATCAGTCAGAAAACATCTCGTCTTGTTTCCAGCTGACTGATGACAGCCCGCTCTGCTCGCTGTCTTAGCTCCTCCTCCTCCTCCTCCTCCGTCTTAATGCTGCGAGTTTTTCTTTCCTCCACTTTTTTGTTTTTCAGAACTCAGACTCTGAGAGTTCAGGAGGACGAGGTTTGTGGTCCAGAGAAAAAGAAAAAGGGGGGTCGAGACTTTCTGGGTCAGCTCATAGAGAAGGAATGTAAAGAGACCACGAACAGGATCCTCCTCGTTTATACAAAAACAAACACACACACACACACACACACACACACACGTTATGCAACTGAAGCCCTAAAGTGTGTCAGAGAGGAACTCTTACCTAACCGAGGCCTGGAAAACAGGACGACTTTTTGACCTCTAAGACCCGGTTGAAGCGTTTATCATAAGATAAGATAATCCTGTATTTATCCCACAACGGGGAAATGTACGGTGTTACAGCAGCAAAGAGCGAAGATTGTAAACAGAAAGTTTCTGAGGGATTTCAGACGACAATAAAACTGTTGAATCTCTTAAAAAGTTCTAACCCTCTGCTTCTCTCTCTCTCTCCCTCCTCTCTCTCTCCTCTCTCCCTCGTCCCTCAGGTGTACAGGAAGGCGGTGGGTCAGATGAGTCAGGGTCTGATCCGGAGGCTGACGGTGCTCAGTCAGTACGAGGAGGCGCTGGTGAAGATCAACGCCACGGCGGCGGAGAGACTGTCGGCTCTGAAGGCGAAGCCTCAGGCGACCATCCAGAGAGACATGCTGTCCATCTGCAACGACCCGTTCACCGTCGCCCAGCAGCTCACACACATAGAACTGGTGAGAACGAATCTTATATTCTGATTCCTCTGACACAAACATTAACTGAGAGAAGGTAGAACGAGGCCGACTGAGTGCACAGGGCGGATTCTTTAAAGATCTGCTCAGATTGTTACATCACATCGATCTTTAGTCGAGAGACGTCAGAGAAAATCGAGATGTCGATGTTGTGTCGTCTGAAAAAACAATCCGAGATCTTTCCAGTGACCTCAGAGAGAAACAGACAGAATCGATGCTTTAGAGGAGACATGTGAGCGAGGATGGAGCTGACACGTTTGATGGATTGTAAATCAACATGGTGGTCGAGGTGAACCCATCATCTCGGCTCCTCCCACATCCGCCCGACTGTAGAATTGATTTTTAAACAGCAGCGTCGACCACACATTTGTTCTCATCAACATGTCGCCATTAAACCGTTAAAAAAAAGATCAATGTGAACATATGTGTGGCTGAGGTTTGGATCCCTTAAAGGAAACATAATCACCTTAGTTACATGTTTATAAGAACCTTCCTGTTTGTTATTTCTCCAACATTTCTTTTTAAAGATGCAGTGAGTTGATTCTTCTTCTCTTTGTTCCTCAGGAGAGACTGAGTTACATCGGGCCTGAAGAATTCGTCCAGGCCTTCGTCCAGAAAGACCCTCTGGACAACGATAAGGTAACGTCTATAGAGAGAGAGAGAGAGGGGAGAGAGAGGGGAAAGAGAGAGAGAGAGAGAGAGACAGAGAGACAGAGAGAGAGAGAGAGATTTCTGCTCCAGACGGACGAGACGTTTACACAACACACAGACCTGCTGCTGCACGGGTCAGAGCGAGGGCAGGGCGTCTGTAGACTGTAAGAGCAGGACTAATACCTACTACTACATACACACACACACACACACACACACACACACACACACACACACACACACACACACACACACACACACACACACACACTCAGGCACATCGTCGGCAATTTCCTCCAATCATCCCGTCTTCCTGTCTGGGAGAGACGTCCATGCTTTCACCTCATCTCTTAGCAACCGCTGCAGCCCAAGGTTTGTTTTGGAAAGGGTGTGTGAGTGTGTGTGTGTGTGTGTGTGTGTGTGTGTGTGTGTGGCAGTGGGTTTCATTTGTGTGGCGTTCGGCTGCTGGGCAACAGCCCCCTTTTTTGTGGAGCTGAGGTGAGTGGGGGGGTTAGGGCTGCCTTTGTGCCTCAGGCTGGACGGCTTCAAACCCCCAAAGAGGTCAAGAGGTGTGTGTGTGTGTGTGTGTGTGTGTGTGAACAAACCTCCTGCAGGTGGTCTAATTAATAAAAAATTACGACTTCAGTAGCTCCATCTTTCATTCTTTTTTTTCTTAATGATCCGGTTTAAAAATGATGTAAAATAAAAACTGTAACATCTGGAGCGTCATCATCGAACTCCTTTAACCCCGCGAGGTGCTGCAGATGTTAGAGGTTATACAGGAAGTGATGTCACATCATGAACAGAGATCATACGAAGCACAAACACAGATCTATATATCTTTACGAAACGTCTCTGCACTCCGCTCATAAAAATCTAAATACCAACGTGTGCAGCGCTCCAATGACTCCTGGGATGTTCAGGGGGGGGGAAGGGGGTGAATGTCGTAAGGCCAGAGGAATGTGTGGAATCAGATCAGGAGGCGTGGACACAAAGACGCAGCATGAATAACGTGAAGAGGATCAGAGGGAGGCCGAGCGCTTTATTCACCCGGTGCAGTCAGGCGTTGAATGAGGGAAACAGGAGAAGAAGAAATCTGATTCACCCCCCCCCTCCCCCTCCCAGCCCCCCCCTCCCCCTCCCAGCACTATGTCTACTCTGCCTTCATCTGAACTGTTGATTAAACGTGTCCTTGTTGTTGTTGTTGTTGTTGTTGTTGCAGAGCTGCTTCAGCGATCACAAGAAGGCCAAAAACCTGGAGGCGTACGTGGAGTGGTTCAACCGGCTCAGTTATCTGGTGGCCACAGAAATCTGCATGGTGAGTGAACCGCAGGAAGTCGGAGAGAGAACAAAGTGCAGCGCAGGAAGTCAACAGGAAGTCGCTGCCATTGCATCACAACATGCTTTTATGAAAGTCTTAAAAATGTCACAAATGAAAAACAAAAACAAAGAAGCAGCGAGGCAACATCAACGCTGCAGCCGCTCCACAGCTTCTGTATACAGACGGACGTAGGTAAGCCCCCTCCTGGGAGTGAAGCCAGAGTATTTATATGCTGACTGGCTGCAGTATATCTCATAAACCCCGCCTCCTCCATGGCAACAGATGGGTAGAATCTCAAACCTGTTTTCCCGTTTTAATCATGATGATCTTTCTCAGAAGTTTGGATTTTAATTAGTTAAAATAAAATAAAAAAGTCAGCTGTAACGTAATGATTGACAGCTCTGTTGACCAATGAGGCGTCTGCAGTGCCGGAGGAGGACGGGCGAGATAAAAAGTAATGAAAACTAACAATACAGTCTTTGAGCTTTACATGACTGAGAGCGGACACCAGAATCTGTTCTGCTGTGGACGCCTGAACGACCTTTGACCTTTTATCATTAAGTTTAATGAAAGGGGCGTGGCATCACTTTAGCACGTCCCGACTCCAAATGATGTCACCAGCTCAAAATGTCAGCGCCTGGCGTTCATTAAGGAGACGGAGAAGCGCCGTCCATTTGAATACGCAGGCGCTGAGCTTCTCTTCTTCTGCTTCTTTGTTCAGTTATTTTGTGTCTTTGTTCTTAGTGGAGTAGAGAAGAAGAAAACGTGGTTCACTGCGGCTGTTGACGATTATTTCTCCTTTCTGTGTTTTGCTCGCAGCCCGTGAAGAAGAAGCATCGAGCGCGAGTCATCGAGTTCTTCATCGACGTGGCGCGCGAGTGCTTCAACATCGGCAACTTCAACTCCCTCATGGCCATCATCTGTGAGTCCCTGTTCTTTATCCTCCTCCGATGTGACAAACAGGAAACAAGATGTCCGACATCTAAAAACAGATTAGCACTCCTTCAGATTCTCTGTCTTGTGTTTTACTCTGCACACATCCCTGATCTGATGTAGAGAGAACGTCCTCTCTCTCTCCCTCCGCGGTGCTAACCTCTCCTGACTTTGTGGCGGTTGGTTTCAGCGTTACATAACTTCCTTCACTGTGATGATGTCAGAGCGAGTCAGAGAGCACAGACTCGTGTGGAGAGACTCTCTGAGCGCTCTCTGAAACACTCAGACAGGAGTTGCAAAGGATCATGGGTAATGTGGAGCACAGTGAAGAGTTTAGAGACCTGGTTTGGTCCCAGAGATGTCCCCGTGTTCAGGGGTCAGGGCATCTGGTCCTCTCAGGACAGGGGGAGGGGGAGGGAGGGGGAGGGGGGTCGAACAAACCATCCAGGCAGATGGTCAGCACTGACCAGAGAGAGTAAGAGCACACGAAGGGGGGGGGGGGAGTCGTGATACTGGAGTGCCAGCTGTTCTCTGTCTCCCTCAGAGAGACGCCGGAGGCAGACCTCCTCTCCTCCAGCTCGCCTCGGGGGTCTCTGCACGTCATTAGTTTTCTCTAATTATCAAATGCAAATATTCTCTTCACCTTTAATCTGCAGACCTGTCGACCAATCAGGCAGGACCATTTTATTCAACAGTTTTTTTAAGTTTTATTTTATTTTCTATCCGATCAGAAGCAGCGCTGATAAGAAAGCGATTCAGGCTTTGTTAAAGTCGGACTGTTACCTCCATCGCCGTCCGAGAGACTCGTTCTGATGCTCGCTCTGAGATGCTGCTGTGCTCGGATTTGATTCTGTGCAGGGCAGAGCTGAAAGTGACGCTTTAAACTCAGTCTGTGTTTTGGGAAGAAGAGAAGGAGAAGGAGAAGGAGAAGGAGGGGAGGAAGAGGAGGGGAGGAAGAGGAACGAGAGGATGAGGAGGAAGTGCAGGACGAGGAAGAGGAGGAAGGAGAATCATCTTCAGCAGCTCAGAGTTTCATATTTGTGTGTCTGTGAGATCTTTTGTTGACTGGAGGATGTTTTGTGTCGTTGCTCTGACGGCGACCCCTCTGTGTCTGAACACAACACACACACACACACACACACACACACACACACACACACACACACACACATGGAGCATTACCATATGGGAAGCAGGGCTCTGGGAGGGGAAACGAGGCGTGTGTTAACTTCTTTGTTCCAGCTGCCTTTTTGCTTCGCTGCATCAGAAGACACAACAGAAAGAAAGGGAGGGGGGGGAGAGAGAGAGAGAGAGAGAGAGCAAGAGAGAGAGAGAGAGAGAGGGTGTGTGTGTGCGTCTGTCTGCGTCGGTGGGAAAAAAGCCATGTGTTACAGCGATGATGTTTGGGTGTCTCCTCTGACGTCTCTCTCATTGTCTCTGCTCCGTCCTGCAGCCGGCATGAACATGAGTCCCGTGTCTCGACTGAAGAAGACCTGGAGCAAAGTGAAGACGGCCAAGTTTGACATCTTAGAGGTGAGTCTGTCCCAAAGAAGACAAGTTAAACTAAAAAAACATGTGGTGCAGAGTCAACAGCAGGAGATGACTCTGAGGCATTACGTCCCGATGAGGAGAGGTTCACATGTTTGCAGCAGTAGACTAGTTTCTCTTTCAGATTTTCAAAATAAAAGCACCCTAAAGCCCTTAGTGTGTGTTGTCCTTCGCGCCCACACACACACGTTCAGCTCGGTGGTTTTGTTGTGTTACACTCTGATGTGCGGTGGGCGTGCGGAGGAGGAGCTCGTTCTCTCGTTGGTGACATGTGACGATGATGTGTGATAACAAAGACGGAGAAACGCTAACAAAGATCTGAGTGGGAGAGCAGAGATTTACACATCGCACAAAAAATGGATGAAAAATAAACGACTATTGATGCAAAAGATATTTGAAATGTACAGAAAGATAACTCACTCCATGCATGGAGAATGCAGTGAGGGAGAGTCTCAGCTCTGTGAGTGCAGATCATCATTCTAACGATGCTGTATAAGGTGAAATTCTGACAATTCTCTTTTCTCCCTTGGAGCGTTGTTTGAGGAGAATCCTGAACTTTCCGTCCCTCCGAGTCTTAATTAGTTCTGATGAAAAAAAGTTCCTTTAAGGTCTCAGATTTGTTGCTCTCGTCTTCTTCCTCATTCGGCCGTCGTGTAAACTTCAGTGATGAACTTCATGACTTTCTTTTGCTGTGCAGTCAACATTTCTCCTCCTCCTCTCGTCTCTCAGAGGAGTCGTGTAAGGATCTGAACCGCAATGCATGCTGGTATATATTGCTTGGATAGTGACCATCAGTTGTTATGCACTATGTAGCGAGCAGTGAGTGTTTGTCTTTCACCTCCTCTCCTTCTGAAGTGACTCATTATGAATCTTTTTGTCTCTGCAGCATCAGATGGATCCTTCCAGCAACTTCTACAACTACAGGACGTCTCTGAGAGGCGCCACGCAGAGGTCGATCACCGCCAACAGCAGCAGAGAGAAGGTGAGGAGACGAGGATAAAAACTAGACGATTAAATGTTCCTACTTTGTGGTCTCAATCTGAAGTCTCAAGTCTTCTTTGATTCAGCAGGAAGTTCATTCAGTGTTTGACCCGTGTGAGCGGCGTTGTAAAGAGCGCTGCGTTCTCATTTTATATAAAAACATAAACACAAAGCAGAGACGCCATGATGTGATGGTTGTTCATGTTGTCAGTATTTTATCGAAAGAAATGACCATATATGGACAAGAGGGTGGAGCTGGAGAGGAGCGAGGGCAGCTCCTCCCTCTTGTCCAAATATGGTCACTTCTGGCTCCAAAAAAAACAAAGATGGCGGTGATGTTCATTTAGTAAATATTTAGAGTGGTATAGACCAGGAAGCAGAGGACGGCGTCCAGCTCCAGAGGTTTCACACTTTGCATCGTCTCCAGGGCGACGGGTAATCCTGCGAGGAGCGGATAGGGGGGAGGATTTAGGGTGGGGCTACCTGTGATTGACAGGATGCTGCCTTGGCAACCAGAGGAATGTCTTGTTCAGTTCTGAGGTGAGGGTTGTTCCTCGCTCCTCTTAAGCTCCACCCTCTTGTCCACATATGGTCACTCCTGGCTCCAAAAACAAAGATGGCGGTGATGTTCATTTAGTAAACATTTAGAGTCGTATAGACCAGGAAGCAGAGGACGGCGTCCAGCTCCAGACGCCAACACGGTGAGGGTTAAGAGGTCAAACTGGAGGCTGACTCTGTTTCTGTGGAGCTTCTGTATGTTTAAAAAAACATCTGCGCTCCAGACTCTGAAGTGTTTCTGTGACAAACATTTAGAGAGACTGAATATCGAGTGTTTCTGTCCGACCGCTCGGACCGCGGCGTTTGTGACGCACGCTCGGCTGCTGATCAGTTACATAAAAACATCCAGATGTTTATCTCCTCGTCTTTTTTTATCTGCCTGTTCTGCAACGTGAACTTAAAGGACAGGAAAACAAACCGTCGCTGAGTTCCCATGGTGTGTTTACAGCAGCAGTAAACACACACACACACCGGGGGGGGGAGGGGAGGGAGGGGAGGGGGAGGGGGGGTTGCATAACAGTCCGGAGGGGGACTCTGAGGTCGAACCAGCAGTGGGTCAAGATACAACATGTTGTTTCCCCTCTCAGAGAGCGAGGAGGAAAATAAACATGGCCGCCTGCCAGATCACATCGTGTTCCTCGCTCTGGTCGGAGCTCGTGGTCGGAGCTCGTGGTCAGCCACACGTTAGCGGTTAGCTTCTCCTCATTCCTCCGGCTGTTTGTTGATAAACACGGCGTGCTCCCTGAGTCCCTGAGGTTTTTGTGACCCGAGACGTTTTCAAGAGAAAAACAAAAAACAAAGCAGGACCGAGGAGAGTCCCGGGTCATGAAACACAAAGTTCCCGAGGAGTCTGGTATGTCCTCGACCTTTTGACCCCGTATTCACCGAGGGGGGGGGGGGTGTTTATGATCTCCTCGAGGAATTTATGAGCTGATCAACAAAGATCCTGTTCTTGTGTTGCTCTTTGCTGTGAAGATTTGAATGTTTGAGGTTTCTTCATCACGTCTTTGGTTGTTCCGCTCATGAAGTTGAAGCAGCCGATGCGTTCTTCTTTTAAGCAGCAGGCCGGGTTAACTCGCCGTTTGTTGCCTCAGCTCCAGAGAGGAACGAGAAGAGGTGTGTGTTATTTAAAGGAGGTTTGGTGTTTGAGCCGCACACGCAGTGACCTGTGTGAAAGCTTGTGGTCGTTTAGGGGACTTTGAGGGGAATTCTTCTTCTCTGGAAAATGTCCAGTCTCATTTCTGCTGTTTTTAGGTGTGTTTTTTTTTAGAACAGAAGAGGCTCAGTTTCATTCTTTCTGTCGATTGTTACCCTTTTCCTGTGTAGAGATGTTTATAAAGGTCCCACCACCTGTCGGTGAATCCCCCCCCCACCCCCCACCCCACGCCATCTCCTCATCCCTTCCTCTTTCTGTCTGTCGCCCTGCAGATCGTCATCCCGTTCTTCAGCCTGCTCATTAAGGACCTCTACTTCCTGAATGAGGGCTGCGTCAACCGGCTGCAGAGCGGACACATCAACTTCCAGGTACGCTGAATATATTCAATCTCCCCCCCCCCCCCCCCCCCCCAGGGAGTTTCCACGGCAACAGATTACACCACAGCTGACTTGTTTTTGTGTCAGGAAGCGTCACTGTGTTTACTACACATGGCAACAGATTCTGTGCCGTTTATTTCCACTTCCCTAAAGAGTGTGGGAGAAAGAGGAAGTCTGACTCGAGCGTGTTTCCGAGGGACAAAACACAGCGAGCAGAAACACAGACTCAGATATTTCCTCTGGTGTTTTTGGTCACAGCTACGCTGAATCAGAAACTATTTTTAGGATTCTCTCGATCCTGGGAAGCTGTGCTGATGGTCCAGTTTCTGTCCCAGCATGTTTATAATAAAACAGAACAGCTGATTTTAAAAACAGTTGTAGACCACTAGAGGTCGCTCTGCAGCCTCAGTAGAAACAACGACCCTTAAACAGAGTTGATTCTTTCTGATTTTAAATCTTTATTCTCTGTTTCTCTATCGTATGTAGAAATTCTGGGAGCTGGCCAAACAAGTGAGCGAGTTCATGACGTGGAAGAAGGTGGAGTGTCCGTTTGAGAAAGACCGTAAGATCCTGCAGTACCTGCTGACGGCGCCGGCCTTCACCGAGGACGGTAAGTGTTGTTGTTTACGACTTCTCTGCAAAACTACGACCGGCTAAAATCGTTGTCGTCGGGGGAAACGGGGCCGTCGACCCGAAATGTTATAATTCACATTTCATTGCTTCACTGAGGATGTTTCTCTGGTTGCTCTGCAGCGCTGTATCTGGCATCCTATGACAGCGAAGGTCCTGAGAACAACATGGAGAAGGACAGATGGAAGTCTCTGAGGTGTGTATGATCAAGCCCCTCCTCCTTCTACACACACACACACACACACACACACACACACACACACACACACACACACACACACACACACACACACACACACACTCCTCAGGCGTTTGCACTCTTTCAATCTCGGTCACCATCATGTCCCTCTCCTGCAGACCCAGAGGGATGAGGGTCACACACTGATGCTGACCTGCACTCTGTTCAATAAATGCATTAAACACACACACACACACACACACACACACACAGAGGTGCTCATCTGTCTTCTCAGTCACACCATCTCTGGCACAATAACACATAAAGGACATCAGTCATTTTCACACAATTAGCCTCTGAACACACACACACTGCTCCCATTAACGACAGCTCTCTGGACGTGTGTGTGTGTGTGTGTGTGTGTGTGTGTGTGTGTGTGTGTGTGTGTGTGTGTGTGTGTGTGTGTGTGTGTGTGTGTGTGTGTGTGTGTGTGTGTGTGTGTGTGTGTGTGTGTGTGTGTGTGTGTGTGTGTGTGTGTGTGAGAAGATGGATGAGAGAAAATGGTCTTTGTTCAGTCTCCTGTAATGACTGAAGAAGCCCCAGAGAGCTGACGGGGGGAGTTTTCCTCCGCAGCATCACGCCGTGGGTTTCGACCACACAAATCGAGTCTGAGACGTTTTTTGGTTTTGTTCTACAGAACTCGTCACCCAGCGAACACGAGATAAAGTACACTATGACCAGAGAATGAAATCACATTTCACAAACAGGATATCAGACCACATGAGCAGCAACCTCCAGTGTTTAAAACTGAAGCCGATGCTGAAGTGTAAAATCCTGCAGTTCCTGGAGTGTCCACTAGAGGCTGGCTGCAGCAGCACAGGAAGTCACATACACACCCATTCTAAAAAGCCTGTTTTTACAGCAGAGATGAACATGTTTACAGCCTGGTTCAAAAAACCAAATAGATGTGATTAGCTCATGTCTGGATGGACACACACTGTACGGGGGGTGAATGTTTTGATGACTCATCAGTTTTGATTTGATGAAGGATAAGAGTTATTCACAATAAGGCGTGTAGCTGACCTGATTGACAGGTGGGCGCGGTGTAACGGTTTGTCAGGAGGTTTAAAACCCGCCTCAGCTCCAGCTCTCAGCCTGTCGTTAGGTTGACTGAAAGTTAGACTGAGACAGCATTTCCAGCATGGAGACCGCCATCGATGGGACTCCAGCGCCCCCTGCAGGGACAGACGGTTTCAAAAATACCCACAATGCTTTATTTCTAAGAATCAAAGAGAAATCCCCATCATAAAGAAACTTTAAGGTGAAAATACCTCCAGTAGGAATGTAAAAAGTTTAACTGTGTGATGTCATGACCCCCGACCCCCCGACCCCTCGACCCCCCCCTCATATCGACTCATGGCAGAGTCAGAGGTGAGAGGAGGTTTGAGACCAGGACACCTGAGAGTGTGTGTGTGTGTGTGTGTGTGTGTGTGTGTGTGTGTGTGTGTGTGTGTGTGTGTGTGTGTGTGTGTGTGTGTGTGTGTGTGTGTGTGTGTGTGTGTGTGTGTGTGTGTGTGTGTGTGTGTGTGTGTGTGTGTGTGTGTGTGTGTGTGTGTGTGTGTGTGTGTGTGTGTGTGTGTGTGTGTGTGTGTGTGTGTGTGTGTGTGTGTGTGTGTGTGTGTGTGTGTGTGTGTGTGTGTGTGGTCACGTTTTCTCATCCTCTGCCAGCCCGCCCTGCGTCCCTCTGAGCGCCGCTCGCTGCGACACGATCTGTCTCTTTTTTTTCCAGCCAAGCAGCGTCAGCAGAACGTGCTGCTCCACACTGCAGACACACACACACACACACACACACACACACACACACACACACACACACACACACACACACACACACACACACTTTAAATCAGCTGAAGATAAACTGTTGCTGCAGCTCAGGTCTGCTTTTAAATATTGCAAGTCAGGAAATAACAGATAAAAAAAAAAAAAAAGTGAAAATCTCGGTTTTGAGAATAAGGTCGTATTTATAAAATAAAAAGATATGAAATAAAATAAAATAACAAAAGGAAAGTAAACTTAGAGAAGTTTCCAAAGACGGTAATTCTTTTCACTAGAGATGCACCGATTGGGAAAATCAGGGATGATGTCATTGTGTCAGAGTCCCACAATGCAACATTTCTCTCGTGTTTGACAATGAAAACAAGCTGACTTCACCTGTCCAATGACAATCCTCGTCTCTGAATCAGTCGTTAGGTGAACTAGATGTCGGCATTAACTTGCTTTGGCACAATCAATATACATCTGCTACTGACAGCGGCTCATGCCACATTATTTGCTGAAGTGGCGATTTCGGTTTTGACTCGTCTGCTCTGTTGTTTTATTGTGAAAGGAGACATTTAAAGGGGCAGTGTTGCCATCCTTACTTCCTGTCACCGTGTTGGAGGTAAACACAGATTTGTCTCCTGATGTTAACAGCTTCATGTCCCTCTTGTCTCCACAGATCCACTCTGCTAAGCAGGGTCTAAACTTCTGCATCTGAAGAAACCAGAACGAAGACGAACATGTGCGCCGGGTCGTGCCCCGCCCACGCCGCTGTCGTCCAAGCCAAGTATCCCCGTGTTGGAGGGAAACGACAATCTCTTAAAGAGTTCTGGAGGATCTTTTGTGTCCCTCCAGCTTCAGATTTCTATGAATCTCTGCTTCTCCTCCCGACCCTCCTGCTCTTTGTGTATTTCAGGACGGCTCTTTTTTTACCTCTTTCTATGAATTTGTAGCTTTTTTTTAAAAACCGAAACGCTACAAACCTTCAGAATAAAAGCGCAGGGTTGCCAAGGTCGGGGTCTATGTTCCCCTCGCTATTTTTTTCCACTGAAGCTAAACTGTTAGCCGCTGGTTGGCTAACTGACAGAAACTGTGGCTGGCTCCATAAACGAGCACTCTTTATATGAAGACGTCGAACCTTAACCACAACACTGTTCATGATTAAGCTAGCCATTATTTCTCGTTTTGTTTCCTTCGATTTCCCTGAGTGGCGATCTTGTTTCCGAAGGTTTTGTTTGTTGTGATGTGTCAGAAAAGAAAATGCACTGGCTGCAGTTTAAAGAAGACGTTAAAGGTTGTTTTTTTTGTATGTGTTGTATAAAGTTTTGTGTTTTTTTAAAGCAGGAAGCAAAACTTAAAAGTGGATTTCACACTAAAGGCTTCGTTAGTCGTGGTCATCACACGGCGGCCGTTAAAGTCTGTCGTAACTCTCAGGGTGAGGAGCTAAAATGCTATCATGTCTTATCGCTACATCAACCATTAAAGACTCATCTTCAACTCAAGACAACAGAAGTTAACGTTTAGAAAACATCGGGCCGGCTCTTTTTAATAAAAACTAAATTCGTAACCCACTTAATAGTTAGCATTAGGAAGCAACCTTTTCCAAGCTAACATAAGCTAACACACGTGATAGTTGCAAACATGGCAATAAGAAAGCTCTAAATTCCTAGCTTGCAGTAGTGTTAGCTGGCAATTGGTTGAATGAAAGTTGTTAAAACAAGCTATCAGTTGCTAACAAGCTAGCTAATCAAATCTGCTTAAATTATGATCTAAGTTTCAAGCTAACATGCTATGCTAGGGATTTAAGCCTCCAATTTGTTCACTTGGTTCACTTTCAAAGAGTAGGCTAGCTAGAAAGTGGTTGTGTACTAATAACCTTAAATATATCCGTCTGATGCTCAGGATTTCCACTTTTCTCTTTTTGTTATCTATTTTGAAGCGATTAAACGTAGAAACATTATTTTGGTTTGTAAAGCTGCAAAACACGATAAGAACATTTTAGCTTCCCAGCCTGATCCTGAGAAGACAAAATAAACGCTGAATAAAAAAACCGTGTTGGATTTAATTTAAGTGTCCAAAAGATCTCAAACACATATTTTGATGTTGGGATAAGGTTTTAAGACGCTCAGACGTGAGCTGACTTTGAAGCAGCCTGAGGCCTTTATCAGCAGTTTGATAAAAAGTGTGTTTCCTGTTTTGTTTTTCATGATATTCAGTGTTAACGTCGCCCTCTGACGCTGGCTGTGGGCTGACCATCCCTTTGGTTCCTGTTCTATGTTAGAAAAAGAGTGTGGGTGTGCTGCCCCCTGGTGGTTCAGTCGGGCGGTTGCATAATGTGAATTGAGGATTTCTGTTAAACCCCTTTACATACGGAGTAATATCATTCATGTGTTTGTACTTTTCATATCTTATAAGCTTCCTTTGGTATTTGTTTTATTTATGACGTTATGTGTGTAGTCACGTTGTGCCCTCGCTGCCAATATTTACTTTATTTTATTGTTATTTAATTTTGTACTCGGTACTTTACGTGCTCCAGTAGTCCTCAGATATCGGCCTATTATTTTTTATGAAAGTTTGTTTGAGACTCTTAGTTTTCCCCCGAGGTACCTGCTCAGAGTATGAAGTTAAACGTGTTTGACAGACGTCTGCTTTACCTTAAAGTTCCTCCACGCTGACTGCTGTTTTCAGTGTACAGACTGTTTCTTTTCTCGCTTCTTGATTTTCTTTCTCGACTGTTAAAAGTGGAATTCTGAATGATTTTGTTGTTTAAAAGATAAAGTTAATAAAGAATGTTTCAAAGTGAATCTGGACTTTTGTTGTGGATTTTTCTTCTTTTTGCCTTTTGGGATCAAAGCCTCAAAGTTTCCCCGACTTGCTTCTTCAAGCTTTCCAACAAACTTCACACGACACTGGTGTCCAATCGTCCAATTAGATACAGATAAACCAATCAGTCTTAATCTGTACAGCGCCAATTTACAACAAATATTATCTGGAGACGCTTTACTAATGAGCTTTGTTACGTTCCAAATGTTAATCCATCATGAGCAACTTTTAGCAAAGTCAGAGCGGCAAAATCAGACTCATGATGAAAAGCGATCTGGTGAAAAATGTGATGAGGAAGAAACAGGAAGAAGGAAATGGACAAACGGGGGGGGAAGGGGGGGGGGGGGTCTTAGCAGCAGGCCATCCCCGCCAATGATTCCAAGGAACCTATCAGAAAATCTGTGGTTTGTAACTTACATAGTACGTGAAGATTTACAGATATGCAGTAACATGATGTGAACAGAGAGAGAGAGTTCATACGGGACGTGCATCAAGAGGGGGGGCATGGTCTATCATTAAATATCTCAAATACATGTGGTTGTCGCGTGCTCCTTGCTAGTGAACCCCACTTTAACTTAGCCCCCGCCAGAATTTTGGCTTGCATAACACCCCCGGTAAAAGCTAAAACTTCTTGACCCCTGATTGGTAGCTGCAGTGCCTCCCCTCGGGGGGACCAGTCCAAACAGAGACTTAAGAGGGTCCAGATCAGGTCTAACAGTTGGTACTGTGGAGAGAGCTTTCCAGAACCCTCTGAGTTAGGACACAACAAAAACATGTGGATGAGTGTTGCATCCACAGTCTAACATCTGTCACATGTAGAGTTGAGTTGTGGATTTATTCTATCTCATTTGGATTTAGATTTAGAAAGGTCTGCAGAAGAACGCCGTGTACACATTGAGGAGGAATGAACCGTTTTTTTTAGAATCTGAGCCCAGATTCCTTCTTCTGTTGATGTTTGTCACTCTCGTTCCCATGCATTCTCAAAGAAGGTTCTAAGTTCTGTCCTCATACATCAGAAAACGATCAAAAAGTATTTACACATCTATAAGAGTCAAGTTTCCGTCACCGTAATTTGATGGATGACATAAAGAAAATGAAAAGTCACGGATGACAGGAGGTACAGGGATCTGATTTGCTGCTGAAGTTGGGGGTGAATCGTTTGCATGAAAGCTGAAAATAAAAATAGATATTTGGCGCCATCTAGTGACCAAGTACAGGAAATGCATCCAAAGGCCCAACACAACAAGATACACAGATTAAATTAAATATCGTAATGAATTGAGGGAGAAATCTTAAAAAAAAAAGTATTGTATTTTACTAATTTTAATATATAATTTTGTTGCAGGGTCTTTTATTTCTTTTGTCTTATTATTTTCATCATCCTTTATTTTTGTTTGGTTTTATTGAATTTTTATAGATGTGCATTAGTCTCTAAAGTCACCTATACGCTCTCCTGTGAAACTTTAAACTGCAGCTGAATTCGTCTGAAAGTTAATTTATAAATAAAGTGAATAAAGCATGTTTAAATATAAATCACATATCTGTTAAAAAAAACCATTAAAAAAAATGTAAATAAAAATGCAGAAATATCAAAGTACCAGGGGTAGCCAAGTGGTTAGCAAGCACGCCGTATGCACTGAGGTGAGGCTGTAGTCCTCCAAGAGGGCAACCCAGGTTTAAGTCCGACCTCTGATTCCCTGCCCGCACGTCACTCCCCCCTCTCTCTTTCTCTCTCTCTCTCTCTCTCTCTCTCTCTTAAAAGCACAAAAGACGAGTATAATCATACAGTTAGCAAATCTGTGAATCCATAAATGTAAGAACATATTTTCTTCTGGCTGCCGAGGTTTGTCGCCAAAAACAAATGAACAAACATAATTTTTAAAGGCACGACTTAGAAGTTAAGTACAAAAAACTACTAAAGAAAAAGTTGTGCAACTACTTCAATCCCAATGCAGCAGTATGTAACTCTGACACCTAGTGTTTAAAATGGGTACTGCAGCCTAAATTCTAAACATCATAGAGAGCTGTCCCCCCCCCCCCTCTCTAGAGTGGATGCTCACTCAGGTCACCATGTGGTGGACTCTGAAGCTTCAGTGTTTATCCAGCTCTGCATGGGTCTGTAAACCTTTCTGTGTTCTAACCTCTCTCCATTTTTCAAAAGCATCTCCAATATTGATCCTAGTTTGAGCACGTTTCTGCTCGTGGAGCTTATTAGAAACATGCAGAGGCTTTTTAGGTCGGGTACAATCACTTCTATCTGAACCACTTCTCTTGACCGCTTCCATCACTGCAACACCTGTTGACCTGATAACTGCTCTCATATCTGACAAACCGAGGGGCGTCCAAAACGGCCGTTTGGGGGCGTGTCTTAAAAGCGCCTACCTTCTCTGGTCCAAACAAATCCAGAGCATTCAGGAGCAGAATCTAAAGTTAGAAGGAGGACATACTGGCTGCTGCATTGTTGTCAGAGAAGCCAGCACTTCAACATAGCATGTTTCCTTAATGATCAGATAGTAAGATACCTTTATCATCTCACTAAGTGGACCTTTAATATGCTGAACAGCGTGTAAACACAGAGCCTGCAGACTCTCTGACTTTGAGGTGGAGGGTTAAAAACTGAACCACAGAGCAGCTAAAACAGTCGATTCTTAACTCTGAGCATGTGTTAAAGTCTGTGTAACAGAGTCCGTTAAAAGCCTTCAGTGCTGGTCGGTGTTTACGTGTCTGCCGCTCTCTGTGACGCTCTCACGTCCCGGCCAGTGACCTGGATTCTGATCTGCTTTTGGTCTGAGTGTTGCCTGCAGCTTTGGACACCTGCCATCTTTGTTCTGCGCCCGTCAATGAAATATACACACACACACACACACACACACACACACACACACACACACACACACACACACACACACACACACAGAGTGGGAAAACCGATGAATCATCTCTGGATGTGAAAGTCTGCAGCTCTCGGTCTGAACTGCAGCTCGTCCAAAAATGTCCAAAATGTAACTAAAGACAAAGTGAGCTTTACATGTTGAACTGCTTTACGCTCTCTTCTGTCTGAAGGGTTCAACTCTGAGCAATGACCCTGATTACTGTAGTCACATGGCGGCCATTTTTCTCTGATGTCAATCTCAGAGAGGGACGCTCAAACGTAAACGTAGTGATATCCTCTCATGCTGCGTTCAAGGTAACAAGTCTTATAAACGTTGGGAATCTGACAGACTTCATGTCTTCCTGATTCATTAGCTTCTCAAAAGACATCGGAGGGTTCAAATCTGAAAGGATATCAGGCCGTTTGTCAAGCTAAGCTGTAGCTAGCCTTCAATTTGGCTAATGCTGCATTCATGTGCTCCTCGGAAATATTCACACACTGATGGTAGAGGCCGCTGTGTAAAGAGTCCATCAGTATTAACTCATCCGTTCACACACATTCACACGGTGATGGTAGAGGCTGCTGTGTAAAGAGACCATCAGTATTAACTCATCCGTTCACACACATTCACACAGTGATGGTAGAGGCCGCTGAGTAAAGAGTCCGTCAGTATTAACTCATCCGTTCACACACATTCACACAGTGATGGTAGAGGCCGCTGAGTAAAGAGTCCGTCAGTATTAACTCATCCGTTCACACACATTCACACTGATGGTAGAGGCCGCTGTGTAAAGAGTCCGTCAGTATTAACTCATCCGTTCACACACATTCACACGCTGATGGTAGAGGCCGCTGTGTAAAGAGTCCGTCAGTATTAACTCATCCGTTCACACACATTCACACGCTGATGGTAGAGGCCGCTGTGTAAAGAGTCCGTCAGTATTAACTCATCCATTCACACGCTGATGGTAGAGGCCGCTGTGTAAAGAGTCCGTCAGTATTAACTCATCCATTCACACACTGATGGTAGAGGCCGCTGTGTAAAGAGTCCATCAGTATTAACTCATCCATTCACACACATTCACACGCTGATGGTAGAGGCCGCTGAGTAAAGAGTCCGTCAGTATTAACTCATCCATTCACACACATTCACACACTGATGGTAGAGGCCGCTGTGTAAAGAGTCCATCAGTATTAACTCATCCATTCACACACATTCACACGGTGATGGTAGAGGCCGCTTAGTAAAGAGTCCATCAGTATTAACTCATCCGTTCACACACATTCACACGCTGATGGTAGAGGCCGCTGTAAAGAGTCCATCAGTATTAACTCATCCATTCACACGCTGATGGTAGAGGCCGCTGAGTAAAGAGTCCGTCAGTATTAACTCATCCATTCACACACTGATGGTAGAGGCCGCTGTGTAAAGAGTCCATCAGTATTAACTCATCCATTCACACACATTCACACGGTGATGGTAGAGGCCGCTTAGTAAAGAGTCCATCAGTATTAACTCATCCATTCATACACTGATGGTAGAGGCTGCTGAGTAGAGTCCATCGGTATTAACTCATCCATTCACACACATTCACACACTGATGGTAGAGGCCGCTGAGTAAAGAGTCCATCAGTATTAACTCATCCATTCATACACATTCACACACTGATGGTAGAGGCCGCTGAGTAAAGAGTCCATCAGTATTAACTCATCCATTCACACACATTCACACACTGATGGTAGAGGCCGCTGAGTAAAGAGTCCATCAGTATTAACTCATCCATTCATACACATTCACACACTGATGGTAGAGGCCGCTGAGTAAAGAGTCCATCAGTATTAACTCATCCATTCACACACATTCACACACTGATGGTAGAGGCCGCTGAGTAAAGAGTCTGTCAGTATTAACTCATCCATTCACACACATTCACACGGTGATGGTAGAGGCCGCTGAGTAAAGAGTCCGTCAGTATTAACTCATCCATTCACACACATTCACACACTGATGGTAGAGGCCGCTGAGTAAAGAGTCCGTCAGTATTAACTCATCCATTCACACACTGATGGTAGAGGCCGCTGTGTAAAGAGTCCATCAGTATTAACTCATCCATTCATACCCTGATGGTAGAGGCCGCTGAGTAAAGAGTCCATCAGTATTAATTCATCCATTCACACACATTCACACACCAACGAAGCAGTGGGACTAACTTGGGGTTAAGTGTCCGTCCAAGAGGAAGGAGCATGGGGATCAAACCCTGACTTTCCGGTTTAGAGCGACACCTCCACCTTCAGTGTCTGGACTCCACGCGACGGGATAGATCTTGCTGCTGATCAGGGCGGACATCTTGGATCATCCAGTGATCTCCCTAAAGGGTTCAAGCACCAAAGACTCCCAGACAATAAATACGATATCACATGTCAAATAAATATTAATCTGTGCATTTATTCAGGGGGAGCAGAGACCCCAGACCCTCCCAGGTTCAAGCTAAGCACCGGATATCTTTTTTTTTAGCTCCGCCCCTGATCATACTCAAAGCTTATGGAGTGTTATTTTGTATTTTCTTGTTTGTCTGTCACTCATTCTTATCGCCGCAGTGGACTCTCCAAAGAAAAACGTCTTTCTAAATTAATAAAAGTCGTATATTTACAAGATTACATTTGTAAATGGATTGAATGTGGCTATTGTTTAAATTTTTATTGTTAAAGGTTGTATCAGAAGAGTATCCTGTGCAAAAATCTTGGGATATTTAAAAACCTTAAAGCAGCTCGTTACCCAGAGAGTTAAAACTCAGACGACACGAGGAAGTATTTCATAATTTGTGAAACCTTTACTAAAGTATAACTTCTCAAGATGCTCCATGTTTCTCATTTTCGTACAGGTACATTTACGACTTTAATCTCTTAAATTTACGACTTTATTCTCTTAAATTTACGACTTTATTCTCTTAAATTTACGACTTTATTCTCTTAAATTTACGACTTTGTTCTCTTAAATTTACGACTTTAATCTCGTAGATTTACTTTATTTTTTTTTAATAATAATTGACTTTAATCATGACATCTAAATATAAATGTCTCTTAATGTGTCCCTAATACTTCTTCATAGGTAACAAATGAATTCCAAAGTGTTTCTGGATCAGTAGAGCAAAGGAACACGAAGTCAAATCATTGTTTTCTCCTTTATACACGAAGAAACAAGAAAAAATAAAAACACACTTGACCCTCCTATCAAACCGTTTGGCGCGCCCGCGGGAGCGCGCACAGCCGATGAGGAGAGAGAGAGAGAGAGAGAGAGAGAGAGAGAGAGAGAGAGAGAGAAAGAGACAGAGAGAGAGACAGAGGGGAGGAGAGGATGGAGCAGTGATGTAGAGGAACTCTCTGTGTACAGATACCCGAATGTACCAACACGTTATCTGTTTCTCTTATATCGTCGTCGGAGCTCGAGTGAAGGCTGAAACCTGAGCAGGTAAGAACCGAGGACACACCTGAACACTGCACGGATTCATTCACCACAAACTGGGGATGATGACGGGGAGGAGGAAAGGGGGGAGAGGGAGGAGAGGGAGGAGAGGGAGGTGCAGGTGCACGATTCTGACCGGAGAGGCTTTGACTAGAAAACTTAACCGAGTTGGTTTTTTTAGAATCGTTGATGAAACCGGAAGAAGTCCTGCAGAGCTTCAAGTCTGTGAATGTGCTCCCTGACCGTCTGTCATCAGAGAGTGAGAGAGTGAAGGAGTTTCAGCTGACACATGAAGAATAATCGGTGCTCATGTCGGTGCTTTGTGACTCTAAAATCAGGGCTTGATTTTCAGAATAAAGTGTGAGAACAGTGTGATCTGTGAGAGAGCAGGAATGTGATGAATGAAGTCTGCTGTGTGTGTGTGTGTGTGTGTGTGTGTGTGTGTGTGTGTGTGTGTGTGAGTGAGTGAGTGAGTGAGTGAGTGGGCATCAGTTCCACAAGACAAACACACGATTGTTCTCTGACATTTGTTCTCATGTAGCTCTTACTATGAGGACAAACCTTATTATTGTTATTATTTACAGTCTATGTGGACAAACATGCTTTAAATATTGTTTTTAAATCTTTATAGATATGAACTCTCTCCTCTTGTATGTTGGAAACTTTAATGTTTATTGTGTTTTATTGTCTCCTCTTGCTCCGTCAGCTGCTGGTTCGTCCTCTTGTTTTTGATTAGATCTTTTTATTCTGAGCCCCCTGATCACCCCCCCCCCCCGACACAGAGGGAGTGACTGTCGATGTAATGTAATACTTCCTGCCTTCTAAATAATAAATGGAGAGGAGTCACTCATTGACCATTACATACGCTCTCCTCTCTTTCTGTCTTTCTCCGGTTTTCTCTTCTCACAGCGTCAGCACTTTCCAGTGAAACCTAACCCCCCCCCCCCAACCCCATGTCGAATGGGTTGGTAAATCATTCGACAGAAACAGGACTTACTAAAGTGGTGAATGATTTGCTACTATCTTTAGATTCAGACTCAACCAGTGTTTTATTGTTATTGGATCTTAGCGCTGCTTTCGATTGTATTCTACTGGATAGGCATCTCAGGACAAGTTCTGGAGTGGTTAAGATCTTACCTGTCAGAAAGACCTCCATGTGTTTTATACGACAACATACTCTCTGAGCCCTGTGCTGTTAGGCACAGGGTTCCACAGGGGTCTGTACTGGGTCCATTGCTGTTCTCACTTTACCTATCCCCACTGGGTCAGATATTGCGTTCTTTTGAGATTGCTTTTCATTGTTATGCTGACAATTTGCAGCTGTACATGCCATTAGGTGTAGGAAGTAAGTACGATACAGCTAAACTTGAGACCTGTCTTGCAGCTGTTAAGAGCTGGTTATCAAAAAATGTCTTGTTGCTTAATTCTGCCAAGACAGAAATTCTGTTTATTGGACCAGTGAAACTGGGTCATCTTTTTGATCCTATAACTTTGTCTCTCGATGATTGTGTAATCAATCGCAGAGACCGAGTTAAGAATTTGGTGTGCTTTGCGATCAGACACTATCGTTTGAATTACACATAAAGGAGGTGACCAGAGTTGTTTTGTGCCACCTGAGAAACATCTCCAAGATCAGATCAATCTTGTTGTTTAAGGATGCTGAGGTCCTCATCCATGCCTTTGTGTCAGCTAGGCTGGATTATTGTAATGTCCTTCTGTCGGGTCGGCCAAAGAAAAGTCTGCGAAGTCTGCAGATGGTTCAGAATTCTGCAGCTCGTGTTCTGACGGAGCCTGCAGATATGAACACCCTGGTGTTGGCCTCTCTTCATTGGCTCCCTATTCATGCCAGAGCAGACTTTAAGGTGCTGCTGCTAACTTTAAAAATGTTAAATGGTAGCGCACCATTGTATCTTACCGACCTGGTGAACCCCTAAGTGCCTGCCCGAGCCCTGCGTTCTCAGGGGACGGGTCTTCTGAGTGTCCCAAAGAGCAGAAAGAAGACAGTTGGTGAGCGGGCTTTTTCTTTCCGTGCACCGACACTTTGGAACAGGTTACCTCTGGACATCAGGCCAGCTTGTTCTGTTGAGGTTTTTAAAGCAAAGTTAAAGACCCAACTGTTAACTGTTGAGTATGAGTCATGATTTCTCTGTATGTTTTTTCTGTATTTTAACTGTATTGCTTTGTACAGCATTTTGATTTAAAGCACATTAGAAATAAATGTATTATTATTATTATTATTATTATTATTATTATTATTATTATTATTATTATATATCGCTATGATGAGAATATGTGTCTTTCTATCAATGCTGCGTGTAGTTGAAGAGAATCTCAATGTGAAGAACTGTTTGTGTTCACACATGACGCTCAGAGCGGAAATATCAGGAGTTTCTCAGGAGTTTTCTGCAGGTGTGAAAGAACTGTTATTGAGGTTGTAGCGATACCAGAATGTTAAACTTTGGAACGATAAAAGTAAGAGCAAAACCATATCGATACCACAGCAACAATAATAGAAATATGAACCCAGCATTGGGTCATTTCTACCAAAAGATTTCAGGCAAACTCCTGCACACTGTCTAAAATGAGTACAATGACATTTCAATGTTGACAGCGTCTTCAGTCGTTCCCTGAAAGAAGATTTAGACCTGTTTAAGATATTCCACCTCCTTTTCCTTCTGTGGAGCTTTAAAAGGATGACTAAAAATCTTATACTGTCTCGATATCATTGACTTAGTATCTTTTTAAAACAGGTGATATCAACCTGTCTCCTCATTGATGATATTTCATGTTGACTTGAATCTGTTCTCTTCCGATGACAGGATGGGGAACGGATCGATGAAATCAAAGCGTTACAAACACACAGACGGACACGGCTGCGGGTTCAAACACCCGTCTGTGGACTCCCTGAGGGCCCGCGTGGACGAGCTGGAGCGCGAGGGGAAGCGGAGGGAAGAGCTGCTGTGTGGCAAAGAGCAGCAGATCAAAGGTCTGCAGGAGCAGCTGGCCAATCAGACGCAAGCGCTGGCCGAGCTGAGCGAGGAGCTGCAGAATAAATGTATCCAGCTCAACAAGCTGCAGGACGTCATGAAGAACCAGAGTGGAGCGGCGGCACTCGTGTCCAGACCGCCTTCAGTGAAAACCTGCGGGAAGAACAGCCCCAACCTCAGCGTCCGCATCAAGGAAACACTCAACAGAAGGAAAGGGGCCAAAGCCGGGGTGTCGGCCGAGCCCACGTCCAGGACGTACGACTCCAGCAGCCTGCCCAAGTTCTCCTTCGAGAAGGCTCGAATACCCAAGGATGCAAGGTGAGGAGAACATGAAGTATAGAGGTCAGACTTTACTTATTTAAACACTACTTTATAGGTGGTTGTTGTGACCATCTTTAACCATAGTTAGATAGTGACCTCTAGTGACCTCTATTGGCTTTAGTGAGTATTACAGGAGAAAAACTGCAACTCACATGACGCAGCAAAACAAAAAGAAATCTCTGGGGCTGAAAAACTGAGCCAAAACTTTCAAATCTGATATCAGAAGTCCCGCCCCTTCTTGATTCTGATTGGTCGATGAGGGAGAAGTGACATTGAGGAGCACTGTGGTGTTCTTAAATTGAAGTGTTTTCTACTGAAAGCGCAGAGTGGTTCTTTGGCTTCTCACAACGTTGATGCACATCGTCTGTGAGGGGGAGGAGTTAACAGGCTCTATGGGTTTTTTTACCGAGGTGCAGTTGCACTTAGAGACCTTCAGGGGGTGCCAAATCGCACCAAACCAAACTCCTACATATCGTAGCTTTACATCTAGCCTCTAACCTCGGTGTTAGCTTGGACTTAATAAACACAAATCAAGTTTTTATCTGTCACTAATGGAACAGAAGCCTCGATGGGAACAAAAGTGCAGTCGTGTCACAAATGAAGCGAGTGTTACGACGGCTTCACCTTCAGTTTGAAATCCTAACACGGTATGTGACAGCTGCAGAACATGCAGCGTGAAGAGGAGGTTGTTGTTTCACATGTTTCTCTAAAGACCAGGCTGTTACCTCGCTTTGATTTGAGCTGAGATTCAGCTGTTACTAACAACGTTTGAACATCAGAGATATAAAAAACCTTTTTACTGGATCAATGATGAAAGTTTATGAAGAAAGCAAACACAACATCATTATGGTTTTTTGTTGTTTTGGGAGGGGCTTTTTATGCCTTTATTGTAGAGACAGGACCCTATAGAGTCAGAAGAGAGAGAGAAAGAGAGAGAGAGAGACAGGTTGGATTTAAACCTGGGCGGTCACTTCAGGTCTTTAGCCTTTGTTCATGGGGGGTTCACACTAACCACCAGGCTACCAGTGCTCCATCATTATGTTTTTTTATTTATCTTTGTCACTACTACATGTTTGGTTCAGGGGCGTGTCCAGACTTTTTGGACTGAGGTGGCCCAGACTTGTGCAGGGGTGGTCTGAGCGTTTATGTACCCCTCCTGTCTCCAAGAACTCAAGAAAATATGTTAGTCCAAAGTCACGAGTATTTACTGCACACAAAAAAACATCTGCACACTGAAACGATGAGCTTCCGCTGCAGCACAGCCTGAATAGTTGATGTCAAAATTAAGTCCCGCCTCTGGCAAGGCAAACAGCCAATCAAAGCCAAGGATTTTTGGCAACTGCGGGTTGCCAAAAATTCTAGGGTTCTAGGGGGCCCATGACACCCCTCTGGCCACGCCCCCTCATTTGGTTATCTTATTATATGGTGATTAGCTTCTTCAATAAGGATGAAATACTTCACAATCTGACGCAGGGCATCTTGATGTCTTCTGATTGGTTGACCAGTCGTTGACCTCGCTGATTAAAACACAAAGATTTCCATCTTACCGATTTGCAATAACAGCGACCAAGTGCGGCTGAACTGACTTTATGACCTGGTGCTCTCTGTTGTTTGTTTTGACCCCCTCGGCCAATGAGAGGATGCTGCACTGACATTTCCTGAAATCTGAGACACACGTCTTTATTGGATCCATTAGTGTCAGACCCGTTTGATAAGATGACCTGGACTGTGGGACGAGTTTCAGACGTGTTTTAGTCTCAGTAATAATCTAATGTTGGATTTGTTGTCTGGCTCGATATGATCCAACGCTGCACACAGTATTTCTTTTTTTTTCTTTTTTTTACTGAATCATTTGAGTGATTGGTTGAAGGAGCCCAGAGGCCGAACAGTCATCTTATCACAGGAGACTAAATATGAATCACTCAGACGATCAGACGAGAGGGGAGAATCATCCTTCACATTTTAAAGGACATCTATACTGTTCAAATTAAAACCACATCAACGAGGACTGAAAGGACCAGAGCTGAGGCACCAGAAGAGCTAAAGTGTAAAATAAGCATTTGTTTCCTGTTTTTTGATCAGTGATAAAAAAAAGAAACGGACGAATGAGGAGAACTAAAAATGATCAAAGGAAGGAGAGATGTTAAAAAGAGATATAAGATGGAGATATATTAACAGGAAACATTTGATATTTTAAGAAACTTCAAAGTCAGAAAGTTAGAAAGACACATTTCTAAATTGGGAATAAAATCAGGAGAGTTTTTTTTAGAGTGTGAGGTGGTCATCAAACTCAATCAGCTGTTAGTTTTTTAAAGTTTTATTTTTGGGGCTTTTATTCTATGTTTATTTTAGAGACAGTACAGCAGAGTCAGAAATCAGGAAGAGAGAGAGAGAGCAAGTTGGGAATGAAACGCGGGATCCGGGAAACACGGGGGCGCGTGCCACTCACCAGACCCCCCGGCGCCCCCTGAGATGTTTCAAGGTGGTCTGTTTCTCCTCTTGGTGTTACCAAAGAATCAAACATGATTTATATTATCGCAGCTCGTTAGTCTTTTCTCATGAAAACTGTCCAAAGACGAGACAGTTGTCAACAACCAATAGGAGCCGTCTCAGCAGCACCAAACAGGAAGAGCTCAGTGAGGATGCAGAGGTCTAGAAACATATGACTCCTTTGTCTTTAAAGGGTTAAATCATGTTTCTTTCTTTCTTTTGTTTCTCTAAAACCTGATGAAAGTATAAAAAACAAACCTTCAGAGATGTCTCACAAATAAACGTTGCGTATAAAATGCTAACGCTAACCCGAGCTAACTGATCCGCTTCCTCTGTGTCAGTGTGAAGAAGCTGCTGGCAGACGCTCTCAATAAGAACCAGTACCTGAGACGTCTGGAGCTGCAGCAGGTCAAAGACATGGTGGAGTGCATGTACGAGCGCACCTACCAGCAGGGGGAGTACGTCATCCAGCAGGGCGAGCCGGGGAACCACCTGTTTGTCCTCGCAGGTACGTCCAACCACACGTTAACCTTCTTCCTCTTCTTCTTGGTTACTGTTACTAGGTTAGACAAAAGCTCTTGTCTCCAGGCTCCTTCACATTTGAAACATTAGAACATACCTGGAGATTTAAAGGACTTTTCTTAGATTATTTTTCTGACAGAATCAGGACAGTCGAGTGTGAGGAGAACTCTAAATCTATAAAAACTTATTTTAAAATAATTTCAAATATGATCCATGTCTGATGCTAACGATGTCGGCTAACGTTAGCTGTCCTCCTGTGGCTGCTCGCCGTCTCGCCTCTCCTGACTGAGCCATGAAGACCTCACAAAATCCTAACCCTACCCCTGTAAAGAAACTGTCAGAGCACCCCCTACAGGCCTGGAGTATGTAGTTCTGTTGTGAAGACTGAACCTGCAGCGTTTCTAAATGTCTCTGTGTTTTTGACTTGTTTTCCTTTATGTACTCGCCGTGCGTTTAATGTTAATGTTGTTTTGGCTTTTTGCAGCACGGCTGAGTCTTTTGAAGCGCGTTTGTTTTGTTTTCAGCCGTTGGATTCTTTCAGGATGTGCAGCCTTCCTGAACATGCGGCTTGTTTCTCTTAATGTACATCATGTCAGCTGATCCTGCGCCCTTCACCTGATGGTCAGCGTAGGATTAGACCTCGAGACGGAGCAGGAAGAGGGAGAAAAAGATGAACAATCTTCACAGATATGAGTGAACACAATCAATTCTGAATGAATCAGGCCCTCTGCTTTTTGATGAGCACATGTCCTCTGAACAATGGCCGC